ACACCTTTTCCCCAGTTCTCAGATATAGAGGGCCTGCGAAATCAACCCCTGTTATTTCAAACGCGTTGGCATCTCGAACACGATCAACTGGTAATGGAGGTGCACTCACGATAAAAGGTTTGGCATTTTGTCTCTTGCACAAGACACAATTGGAAATTGCAGATTTTATAGTCCGACGTCCTCCTAGAATCCAATAATTTTGACGTAATCTGCTCATAAGTCCCTGTGTCCCACTATGACATGATTTTAAGGGTTCTCTGAATATAAGCTGATTGACCAAAAAATGTTTGGCAGGCAAAACTATAGGAAATAGAAAGCTTTTACAGTCGCTTCTGTTACTGATCCGTGACTTTAGTAGAATTAAGTCATCATCATCTTTGTAAACGTCCATGCCACATAGTCGTTTATCGTTCTTATCGCAGAAGGACTCCTTTTGCACTATACGAAGAACAAAAATTTTGGCTCGGTCAATTTCCTCGGAGAATAAGTGACCTCCGAGTCGATCTTTATTTCTTGAGTTATGAAGAAATCGGAATATCCATCGGTGTAGCCGGCGCCTCTATTGACACCACGGAATACACCTATAGGTGTAATCGGCAATGAATGTGTTAAGAGACCGTTTACAATATTTAATGGCAAATTGACTAATAATCTAATGTCATTGGAGCTAAACCGAAACAAATTTTTGCATCGATTGTTGGTTAAATCATTAAAATTAAACTGCACGTTAACCTGCTCAATATCTTCTTCTAGCAAATTAACAAGAATGAAATCTTCAATTTCATTGTCATCTGCACCAGCAATTATTGCTGCATCAGTTTTCAAATCCATTTTTCAATAAAAAACAGTTATAGTAAAGGTAACGGATTTTGACATGATACTATGACTAAGATCTAATCGTGACGTCAATGGAGAGTTGCACGTTCGAAAAATGTCAGTTTTTTGTATGTATCAATAAAAATAATCATTAATAAATAGTTTGGAGATATCCATATGTGTACGATTATTGTAATTATTAAACCTCTTAACTTATTTTCGTCTAGTAATTTCATCACAGAATGCATACAAATCCCATTTAATTTTAACAAGAATTCAAATTCTACTCTCCAATGACGGCATGCGCGAACACGACCTATTTTGTGCTACGGGAAGATCCTATCTTCATGATACTATACCAAACAAGATAAATATGCACACTTGTGAGACAAAGCCAGGGGACTTGTTTGTATCATATTTTAACGATGCAACATATGGCAACGTTGTTCCATTACTGTAATGAACAACTTCAAAACTTAAACTGTTAACGGTAAGTATACCTCGATGCCATATCTTGCACTAATAAGTCATAACTAGTTACTTTCTGTAAAAACGTGGTTTGAAAATTAATAAGTAATTTGTAAAATTAATTAAAGAGATATATGAATCTACGATTTGATTGTGTGTATTACAAACAAAATAAATATTGCTACAAAACATAAATTAAATATAAAAGGCCGGCAAAATGTAAAGAATTTGACCATAAAGGAAAAGCGGGTCAAACTTCAGACTTTATGAATATTATTTAGACATTTATTTTACAATCTTTGTTATTTTTCTTTTGTAGTACCTATTGTAATTATCTTTAATATTTCGATTTAGAATTTGTATTTTAAAATACATTTTACATCTAAAAAAACTAATTTTACATCTTCGCTAACATTTACATACTTTGCAGCTTCTATTAAGTTTTTTAAACAATATTTTGTTATTTTTCATATGTCGCCACTATAACTACGAAAAATATATTTCAGTTCACTACATACATCCAAAGTACCTTTTTTTAAAGCCCTATCAAAAATAAAGTATTACTTCAAGTTCTATTAAAATTTATATACATATTATATTATTATCTATTGGCGATGTCAAACGAAAGAGGCGGCACGGTGCGGTAAAATTGTGAACTAGTGCACGTAGGATAACAAAACATTTTGTATTTAGTTATACACACATAAAATAGTTATAAACATTTTAAATATTATTAAATAAAGCACAATAATGTAACAAAATGTTTAAAAATAAAATGTAAACAGTATTGCTCTGCACCGCAATGCAGTAATTATCGATCGGAAGGAATAAGTATGCACTTTCTTCCTCGTGACAAAAATCTACAAGATCATTGGGCACAGGAATTAAAAATTGGGAAATCGTTATCAAGTGATAATATGGTGGTGTGTTCAAACATTTTTTATCAACAGATTTTTTTTTAAGTAAATTTGCTGAACATAATTGCAACTAACACAGAATCCATATATACAATTTTTACATTCGTAATAGCTGTGAGTCAAACTGAAATAAATACCAAAATTTTTATTACAGCTGCAGCAGGGCAAAAGAAACTTTCAAAGAAAGGTGTTGTTCCCTCTTAATGCCTTCGAGGAAAACACGAAAGAAAAATCAATGAGTAACTGATGAATGCTAGAGTAATGCGTAATAAAACACGCACATTCCCTACTGGCGGGCTTTACAAGTGCATTTTCCACCCACTCATCTCTTAAGACATCCACAGTGATTTCATGTGGGACAACATTTAAACATAATCGTTTGCAGACACAAACCGACTACCTAATTTGTTATTATACAGGGTGTTTCAAAAAAGGTAACCCCGTCTCTAGGGTAGGTAAAACACTGAAAAATAATTGGGGTTTGCTTAGTAAAAAATGTTTGTAACGCCATCCGTTTTCAAGATACAGGGCGTTAAAGTAAAAAAAAATTTACGTATTTTTTACGATTTTGCCGAAACTACTGGCAACATTGTAATATGTAAATAATTGTAATAATATGTAATAATTATTGTAAATTTTATACGAATATGTTTTGGAAGCTGATACATCCCATGAATTTGTTTTTATATCTTATTCTCATAGAGGGCGCTAGTTACACGGATCGTACTAAGTATTATTCAATATAACTTTTTTAAGAGTATAATTATTAATCAAAATTTCAAGTAAACTTAAACATCATTCAATTTTACACGAAAAAGGTACTCTTGGTAAAACTCGATACTGTGTACAGTTTTCGAAATATTTTGATTTGAAAATTATGAAGTAATAATTGATGCTGGTATAAAATAGTTAGTAATTAAACAAAATTCACAAGAAGAAAATTAAATTAATGAAGAAGAACATAAAATAAAATTCAATTACAGTAAGTGTTCAAAATGCCCTCCGTTTTCGCGAATATACAAGTCTATTCTTTTTTCTAAAGATTCCATTAACCTTCTAAACGGTAAAGGATCATCTATGATGTCATTAAATTGACGTTGAATTCTTTCTTCCAATTCTTGGCGTGAATTTACCTCTGTAGCATAGACTTTTTCCTTAATATACGAACAAATTGCGTAGTCCGAGTTAAACATACCTTGTCGCGTAAAAGTGGCCTCGTCCGTAAAAAGAATGCATTTTAAAAAATTTGGATTGTGGACTGTCCTTTGTTGCAATGTTTCACAAAAATCCACTCTAACCGGTAGATCATCTGGCAAGAGCTCTTGGACTTGTCTGTAATGATAAGGATGTAATTACTGGTCTTTCAGTATCCGATAAGTACTTGAAGAAGAAGTATTTGTTTGTCTTGCTATATTCCTTTCGCTAACTGTTGAATCTTGGTCAAGTAAATTTAAAATATTATTTTCTTTATTAATTGTTCTTGTTGTTCTTGGTCTACCAAAATTTATTTTATTTGGTCTCACATTCCCAGTTTCTCGACAACATCGTTCAACGGCTCTAAATGTTTTTTTACTTGGTAACTTTTCTGCTTAACGTGTCACAACTGCACTAGAACATTCGCCTAAGGTTAATAACATGTCAGTGTATTCAACATTTGGATACATTTTGATTTGATTTTATAAATAACAAGGTTGCAAAACTCCAATTATTGTTGATTTATCGTCATAATAATCAATAAATGTCAAATTTCTATGGCACACTTGGAGAAAATAGAGGTATTTCTATTAGAACTTTATGATTACTACCTGCATCAATTATTACTTCATAATTTTTAAATCAAAATATTCCGAAAACGGTACACAGTATCGAGTTTTACCAAGAGTACCTTTTTCGTGTAAAATTGAATGATGTTTAAGTTTACTTGAAATTTTGATTAATAATTATACTCTTAAAAAAGTTATAATGACTAATACTTAGTATGATCCGTGTAACTAGCGCCCTCTATGAGAATCAGATATAAAAACAAATTCATGAGATGTATCAGCTTCCAAAACATATTCGTATAAAATTTCATTACAATGTTGCCAGTAGTTTCGGCGAAATCGTAAGAAATGCGTAATTTTTTTTTTCTTCAACGCCCTGTATCTTGAAAACGGATGGCGTTACAAAAATTTTTTACTAAGCCAACCCCAATTATTTTTCAGTTTTTTACCTACCCTAGAGACGGGGTTACCTTTTTTTGAAACACCCTGTATTTGCCGCACAACACAACGTGGCCAGCCTTTAACAAGGCCTCGCCTTCTTTTACAGGTCTTTTTGTGTCTCCTATATATTTCAAAATATGAAGCAGACTAACTTCAATTTCTTTATTTGCCATTGCGTTAACAAAAACTAAATGGAAGATAATAAATACCGATAATTTTTGGACACAAAAATCATTCACCTACAAAGATTATGGTAGCTCTGTTTTGTTTTCCTACGTGCGTGATCAGCTGATCATCTGTCAAAGCGGAAACTTTTATTATTATCCATAGAAACATTTACATACTCTGCTGTTATAATATTGATATATTAATTCTCTGCTGTTATTAATATTAATTCTTTTTACTTATATAACTAGAATTGCATCAAATGAAAAATTTAAATTTAATTTTAAAGTTTAACTTGCTGTCATTAATTTTGTCAATTTGGCATTTTGACAACTTGTCTCAGGCCTACGTCACAAGAACATGCGTGTTGACTGATCCACAGATCACCTACCTCCCTACTTATTAGTGGTCTGTGGACTGATCTTGTTTTGTTATAGTATCAAATCAAGTATCATATTAAAACGAGTAAACAAAGAACAGTAGACTAGTAAAATATTATATTATTTATCTATGATATAAAACTTTCAACTTTAAATATAAACACTGTGTATTGATTTAAATTGAGTGTTTATGACCCAGTAAAGTACTTGTTTTTTACCCAGTCTACTTGTTAGTAATGGAATTTAACATTGAAATTAAGGAAAAATTTGTTAAATGTGACCAAAGATATATAGGGAATCACCTTTCCACATCAACAGATCTTACTGATTTGAAGAATGAACCAGAAGGTAATTCAAGTAAGACAATAACAATTAGTGCTAAACCATGTGATGTAATTAGTATTTTTTTATTAGCTATGACATTAAAAACTGAAAATAAGGAAGATTTAGTTGAAGATGATCCTAGATATCAAAAAAGTCAACTGTCCACAGCCTTTGATCTAGGAGACTTTAAGAATGAAGCAGATGAGTACAACTCAGGTGAGATAACAACTCGGGTGAGATACAAATATATATGGTGAATGTTTTTATGTAGCCTTTTTTATTCTACTGTTATTGTTCATATACATATTTCATGTCACAAATAACACATTTTTCTCTATGAAAAATTGGATTCATTTCTTACCAGTTTTTTTTTTATAAAATTATTAAACTTTTACTGTATTTTATAGTAATTTCTAAATGCATTACAAGTTTTTATCAAAATCACTTAGTTTTAACAATTTTTTTACAAAAACTACGCTTTTATAAAATTTTAATATGCACACATTTTATTCTACCCACATTGTAATATTTTGACTAAACCAACAGTTTTTAGCAACATTTATCTAAATTTTTTATAATTGATATGAGGTTGAATGCTCGAATAAATGAACTTTGAAAATTAAGGCAAATATCGAGCACAAGTTTAATCAAATCTTGCCCAAGTACTTTCGCTTACTACAGCATCTTCAGGGGCATTTCGTCAAATTTGGGCTATCCAGCCAGCATAGAATGTGATAAACATGAATTTTAACATAAAATTGTACAAAACACTACACTAAAACAAGGACAAACAGTTTAAAATTAATTAAAATGGTTCTATGCTCTACATTCTTTGTCAGTAACAGGAGAGAGAATCTTATTAATATAATATATTATTATTATAGAGAGAATTATGAGAATTATAATAAAGTCATATTAGATCTAGAAAAAATAGATATATGTCTCAATTCTGAAAGACATTTTATTACAGTCATATATTAGATTTAGAGTTTATAAATAAAACATATTATACTACTCACTCTGATAAATGGCATGAAATATCAACTGGAAAGCTAACATACTGACCTACTGCCACAAATAAAATTTCAGACCTCAACATAAAAAAGACCAACACATTTGGAGACCACCTAGAAAATACTCTGCAACCAAATGAAGAGTATGAAGTAATAACTGGGAGCTCCCTTATCAAGATGGAGATTAGACCTGTAATGTAAACACATTTTATAAATACTTCCTTTAGATTTATATACATACCGCAGATATGAATGTAGCATTATTCATAATAAACTGGAAAACCTCCACAAGAAGCTTCTTCATACAAATACATGCCTATTTCACTATTGCCTGTTTACGTCAACATATAAATATAATGACTGTATGGTGTTGATCTGAGACCCCATATTTAATTACCATTGGTTATTATAAAATAGATAGGTTTATAGTATTCGTCACCCAGTAAAGTAATTGTTTTATACCCAGTCTACTTGTTAATTATGGAATTTAACATTGAAATTAAGGAAAATTTTGTTGAATGTGAATATTAAAGACATAGAGAGAGAGACAGCTTTCCACATCAACAGATCTTGCTGATTTGAATAATGATCAAGACAAGTTCATTTTTCAAATCAGAAAGACAATAACAATTAGTACTAAACAATTTGATGTAATGCGTATTTTTTATTAGCTATGACAGTAAAAGCTGAAATTAAGAAAGATGTTGAAGATGATCCTAGATATCTAGAGAGTCAGCTGTCCACTGTGCTTGATTTAGGAGACTTAAAGAATGAAGCAGATGAATATAGTTCAGGTGAGATAAATGATAAAAATATGTGTGGTGAATAGTTTTTTTTATAGCTTTCATTTACTATGCAATTATTTTTCATATATTTCATGACACAAACATAGTTTTCTTTATGAAAAATTCTTCTTAGAGTGCCATCTCCCTACAGAGGTTGGCAATCATAATAGCTATATTTATGTTTGAACTTGCTGCTCTAAACAAATCAATCAATCTGCATTGTTACCAATCACATATATTATTCAACCATGAGTTCTGCTTTCGGCCAACAGACCTTCTTCCTTGAATCTTTCCCTGTATTATGAGTCTCAAAATTTCATATTTTGGTCCCCTTATCACTTGGCCAAGGTATTCCAGTTTTCTGGTTTGTATAGTGGTGATTAGTTCTGTTTCTTTACCAACCCTCCCCAGTACTTCTTTATTTGTAATTCTATCAGTCCATAATATTCTTAATACTCTGCGGTATAACTAGAGTTCGAAAGCTTTGAATCTTTTTAAATTGCATTTTTTTAATGTCAAGTCTCAGTTCCATATAATTATAGTACATAGTCTGATCTCCAAATTTAGATTTTTGCATGTTAGGAGTGGCTTCATTCATATAAATGCTGATCTGGCAATCTCTATTCGCCTGTTTATGATGTGATATGATAGTATGATCATTGGTTTCATGGATCAAAGTTCCCAAGTACTGATATTTTTCTATTTGTTCTATCACGTTACTATTCATTGTCAATAGGTGATGTATATTTTGTGGTCTTTTTGTAATTAGCATGTACTTCGGTTTTTAGCGTTTATAGTAATTCCCATCTCAGCACTATTAATGCTTAAGCTTTCGATAAGATGTTGTAGATCTTCTATACTCGTGGCTATGATCACAGTGTCGTCTGCATATTGTAAGTTGTTAATTAATTTTCCGTTAACGGTAATTTGTGCTTTGATATTATTAAAATATTGAAACTAGTGGTGGGTTGCGATTTCACGAACTGCTACAACGCTGTCACAGTCACAGTCCGCTACAGCTGGAATAATATAGCAGTGACATTCAGTCACATTTTATTCTACTGTGACTGCACCACTTCGGTCCGGTGTACGCTACACAAGACGTTGCGCTGGTCCCTGGTCCATAGATCGTATTTGCGACAGTGACAAGCCTTGTTGACGGACCATTTTAAAAATGGAGCAGTCGCTCTCATATGGTGACTGTGACTATTATTTGCTAAGTATAAGTAGTATTTGCTATTGTAAATTTCCGACTAAGATTAATAAATTGTAAGAAGTTTATTGCGGGCGGAACTTTAAAAGGGTATTTATTTATATCTACGGCCGGGCCAAAACGTAAAAAAAATACGTTTTTAAATCTTATTTTCTCTCGGTATAAGCAAATTTACCTCGCTATATGTAGAGGGTTATAGTTCAATAGAAATTTCACGGGACATCTAATGTACCTCGTTATAAGCGAAATCTCGTAATAAACGTGTTCGTTATAAAGGGAGTATACTGTATATATCTAATAGATATTAAACAGTATTTTTGGAACTTTATAGAAAGAAACATCATAGTGTCGTACCTAATGGGAAAATAAAATTCGAAGTATTGAAATTTCTCTTTTATTAATGCTTTTCATAAAGCTGTGACTTGGTGATGTGTCTAATTAGTCTTTGATCCTGAAGAACTAATCTATTAACAAAAAGAGAAATCATACGATTTCTACCTGGCGAAATCGAATTCAAATCTCAACCACCGTGCTTTCTAAGACTTGCAAAGCAAACAGCTTGATGAATAAATCGACAAGGGAATCTAAGATTGCATTCCAAATGCCGTTGATCATGGTCAAAATTCGTAGTGAATTCAATTTCTGCTACTCCAAACGAAATAAAGAAATAAAACATAATGACGGTATTAGATTTTGATTCGATACAGAGCAGCGACAAGCCGCATATACATATTTCGACCTCTTTAGGTCTCCTCAGTACGGTATAGCCACTACTCCATATCGAAACAAAATCTTTTCTCGTCGTAGACCATAGTTATCAAAAATAATTATGTACAGACGTAACTACGCCATCTAAGAACAAAAAGAGAAAAGGCGATTTCGCCAGGTAGAAATCGTATGATTTCTCTTTTTGTTCTTAGATGGCGTAGTTACGTCTGTACAGTAGTTATTTTTGATAACTATGGTCTACGACGGTAAAATATTTTGTTTCGATACGGAGTAGTGGCTATACCGTACCGTACTGAGGAGACCTAAAGAGGTCAAAATACCTATATGCGGCTTGTGGCTGCTCTGTATCGAATCAAAATCCAATACCGTCATTATGTATTATGTTACATTATGTTATGAACTAATCTATTGTTTAATGATCACATAATGATGCCATTAAATTTGTTTTAAATTACAATAAGTGAATATAGAATTGTGATCCATAAGTTAAGCCACGTGTTTTTTTAAAAAGACAATAATTTAATTTGTGTTAATTATTAGTATAATATATGTTTTAGTATAGTTCAGTTGAGGCTTTCTATCGTAATTACGGTACTTTTGTCCATAGACAGTGAATTTTTAAAATTGTCTGTTCTGTTGCCACCAAATATTTTCTTAAACTAAAAAAATATAAATTTTAGTTTTTATTTTAGGCACTTTTGATATGGAGTATACATCGGAAATCTTGAAATCAATACTTATGGGTTCATGTAACAAAAAAAATTATAATAAAAAAGAACAATTCATGGACCAATCTGCTAAAAAAAAAACGTTTACATGTGAAATTTGTTTGAAACAATTTGGTGTAGCACGTAATTTAAAACAACATATGAGAATACACACTGGAGAAAAACCTCACAAGTGCGAAATTTGTTTTAAGCAGTTTACTCTTAAAGGTACTTTACATCGTCATAAGAAAATCCACACAATTAAAATCCACACAGTAAAATCCTACAAATGCAACATTTGTTTTAAGCAGTTTACTCAGAAAAATACTTTATCTAATCATACAAAAAGTCACACTGTAGTAAAACCTTACGAGTGCGAAGTTTGTCATAAAGAGTTTGGTGTAGCATTTAATTTCAAACAACATATGAGAACGCATACTGGAGAAAAACCTTACGAGTGTGAAATTTGTTTTATGCAGTTTTCTCAGAAAAGTAATTTAAAACGACATAAAATATCGCACACTGTAGAAAAGCCTTATAAATGCGAAATTTGTTTTAAGCCGTTTACTCAGAAAAGTTCTTTATATTACCACTCAAAAATTCATACTGGAGAAAAACCTTACAAGTGCGAAATTTGTTTTAAGCAGTTTAGTCGGAAAGATACTTTATATACTCATACAACAATTCACACTGGAGTAAAACCTTATAAGTGCGAAATTTGTCATAAAGCGTTTGGTTTAACAGGTGCTTTGAAACAACATATGAGAACGCATACTATAGAAAATCCTTACGAGTGCGAAATTTGTTTGAAGCAGTTTTCTCATTCAGGTAATTTAAAACAACATAAAAGAACCCATACTGGAGAAAATCCTTACGAGTGCGAAATTTGTTTGAAGCAGTTTTCTCAGTCAGGTAATTTAAAACAACATAAAAGAACCCATACTGTAGAAGATCCTTAAAGTGCGGAGTTAGTTTTAAGCAGTTTACTACACCAACTTATTTGAAACAACATAAGAAATCGCACACTGAGCTGTTATTTGGTTTGGACCCAACTATCAGAATTCTAAGGCAAAAAGGTGATGCGAAAAGTAAATAATAATCAGACAATGTATTTAGAGAAACAATAAATTCATTTAAACGATACACGTATTTCATTATATTAATCAAAAGTTACATACTAAAACCTGTGAATTATAAAAATACCGGAAAAATTATAAAGTCTGTGTTAATATCGCTGCCTCAGTGCAACACTGTATTATCTCAAAATCAACCATTTTGAGAAAAACGGGTTTAAAGTTTTTCATGCCTTAATATTGACGCCTCAGCGAAAATTATTGTTTATTTTCATTTCTGTTAGTTGTTAGTTTAGGTAAATTAGTCTTGTACAATCTTAAAAAGCACTAAGTATTATCTTTTAAAACTTTTTTTATTTATTGGCTTAAATGGAAGGAATTTGAGTTGTTAGAATATTGAACGGAACGTTTCAACAAGTTTTAAAACTGTTACGTTTATTTGTAGATGTTACTGTTTTGTTCTGAAAATTAAATGACATTGAATTAAATTTCTTCGCTCTGAAATAATATATATATATATATATATATATATATATATATATATATATATAATAAAAAATATTGAGTGATTGTTGTGTAAATGTTGTTAAGAAAGTTTTAGTAAAACACTATTTCCTAATGGAGTATAAACAATCTTTATTGGCAATGCCATCTTAAAAAAACTACATTTATTTTTTGGCTGTATTCAGTACACGTTAACAGAATAAACTACACTGACTTAGTTATCATCATCATTGTCTTTGGTTCTCAACCCATGGAAAAAGTTATGATAAGGCATTGGTATTAATCTTGCATCACATAAACTTATTAAATCCGCTTTTTTCTTAAGAGGAATCCCTGGTGGAGCTCGATATACTTGTTTGAGTTGGTGAGAGGTCTCTTTGGCTAACAAATCTACTAATGATCTAGAGTACGGCAGCTGTTCTTTTGTTTTTCTACGTTTCGTTCGGACACCTCTAGAAGTCAGTTAAGAATGTCCTCTAGACACAACAACAAGAGAACCGTCTTTCTTTTTTGTTATTTTATCATCCAGGTTAAAAGACATCATTTCCTTTTGCTCATAAGAATACTTAAGCTGTAAGCTTAAGCTATAAGAATAAAAAACAGTCAATGGGGTTGATTTCCTTACTTGAAATGTTTTAACGTTCGCCCATACTACTTTCATAAAGAGGGTTCTTGTTAATGGCTTTTTTAACTGTCTTTCAATTGAAGAATGTATGCTATCCCCCTCGCTTTGAGTATGACCTACAATTAAGTATTTATGAGTAATTGAAGGAATATCTAAAG